GAAAGTCCTTGAATTTGTCAGCACTGTGCATGATCTCTGCGCTGTCCTTGGAATGGACATCTTTAGTACTGTAACTGAAGTTCATCCGAGCTTAGATGACACTACTGGTGTGCAGTCAAAGAGTATCAGCAATGACACCCTATTGAGGTTGGTCAAGACAGTTTCAGATCTAAATGAAGATAAGAAACAAAAACTTCAGAAGGTATCCTTGTCGTATGCAAAAATTCTTTTCTTTATTTGAAAATGTACAACCCATTTTGCTTCTTGTGCTTTGTTACTTTCACTGTTGCATATTGATAAATGACCTTTCGGAATCATCGGTATAGTGGACATAGATATATTAGTTAATATATTCTTCTTCATACTTTTGTTCCAATAAATGAAATTACGAGGTTAACATTTCTCCCTTTTGACAGCTTCAAGAGTTAGCAACTCAGCTGATTGATCTCTGGAATTTTATGGACACTCGTGAAGAAGAAAGAAGATTATTCGACCATGTTACCTGCAACATCTCTGCTTCAGTTGATGTAGCGACTGTGCCTGGTGCACTTGCTCTGGATTTGATAGAGCACGTAAATCGAGTTTCTTAGTTGGTTTATAAGTTTAAATGAGAACAGCTGCTTATATTCATTTACCGTTTGCTTCAAGGCGGATATAGAAGTTGAACGGCTTGATCTGCTAAAAGCAAGCAAGATGAAGGAAATCGCCTTCAAAAAGCAAGTGGAGCTTGAGGAGATATTTTCCCATGCGCATATAGAGATAGATCCTGTGGCTGCTAGGGAGAAAATAATGGCACTGATTGATTCTGGAAATGTTGAGCCTACTGAGTTACTAGCTGACATGGATAATCAGATAGCAGAAGCAAAATAAGAAGCCCATAGTAGAAAAGAAATATTAGATAGGGTTGAAAAATGGATGTCAGCTTGTGAAGAAGAAAGTTGGCTTGAAGACTATAATCGGGTATTAGATCTCTCCTCAACCTTTCTTTTGCTCTGGCTTCTTGCTCCCACAGCTTTCTCCCTTGTGGATGGGTGTATCAGTTTGTGTCGAAAATAAGGAAAAAAATTGATAATCTGGCCATAATATTTATCTTACGTGATACAGTTAAGAATCATGTTTACAGGATTCCTGGTAGGACCTTCTAGAATCATGTTTACAGGATTGTGATTCATATGCCATTGGTGGACATTGTGTGCATGTGCATTTTTTTGTTCGATAGAAGCTAATAATGTAGGTATAAATAAATACAAAATCTCGGTGAAGATCATTTGCAATTCAGTTTCTGGTCTTAAAGTTCCTTCTAATCTATTTTTGATTTGGCTATATAGAAAGTAGGCCCTAAATTTTGTTATCTACTTCTTACCAATCTATAATGTGGTAGTCCAATAGAAAACATTAACTCTCAAAGATGAAGGATCAATTGGTTTTATTGGCTTTTTGTAGGTATGGTTGACACTTTAGTTGCCAAAACTCGAGCTTGGGAAGAAGCTCGTGGCATAACATTTACGACGTATGGACTTACAGGATCAGAAGTTCAGTGAGCAGCAAAACCCTGAGCAAGAAGCCATATTCGGTTCAAGACCAAGTCCTGCTCGAGCATCTGGTACGAAGAAGGTGGTGGGTCCTTGAGCAAATGGAGGAAGCAACAGAACTCCTAGCAGACGGTTGTCTCTAAATGCTAACCAAAATGGAAGCAGGTCTGGCGCTAAAGATGGGAGGAGGGACAGCACGAAGCTGGCATCTCCTTCCAATCACGTTGCAATGTCAAAAGAAGATGCAGCCTCCCATGTTTCCGGAGCTGATCCAGTTCCAGCATCACCCTGAAAATAACATAGATTTTACACTAGTGTCTTCTTATTAGTGTTATTCCCAGATGTCATTTAGTGATTTGGTCCGAGTCGAAGAGATGTCGTTGTAGTATGGATATAATCAGTGACCGGGGAGTATGCTGTTATTCGATGTGTATTATTTGTGATATTTAGCATTTGGAAGCCGGTTTTTGATCCATTTTGTGCCCTTTGCACTTGTTAGATTTATAATTACATTTATGGATGTGTCAGTTGCAGTAGAGCACTTAAAGAAATCTCTTGAATTGCGGACTAATCCATCAGCCAAAGTTGGTTCTTTGAATCATGACTTGGTCTGTAAAGGTTTTATTAAGAGTATGGAGATTATGAACAGTACTGTTACTTGCCATCTAATTTTCATTTGAGAATCATAAAATTCCGTCTGGTTTTCCCGTAAAGATTCGGCAAGGTTTTGTTTTTGTTTTTTCCAGTAAGACAGGAATAAGGTAATTCCAAAAAACTTTGGATATAACTCGAAAACATAGGAAAAACCTAATAATTCTGGATAAGTTAAATCCATTGAAGAACTTGATTGGCTAGAAACAAGCAACACTAACCAATGACTGAATATCGATTATAACAACGCTATTTCCTGATGAATCTTATCCCTTGGAGAATCCATCTAGGGATCCTATATATGTAAGCCTTATTGCACGATGAAGAACACCATTACTGCCTAAACAAAGTTCTTCACATGGGTTGTAGATTCTCTTGTTCAAGCCCCCAACGATTGTCAGATCAACAGGAAACAAAACACGAAAACGGTCGTAACCGAAGCTCTTGTTCGGTCCTGTCGTTGCTGATGTTGGTTTGCATGTGGAAAAACGAAGCGAAAGAGAGGGAGTTGTGGCAGGAAAAAGAGAAGCAGAGGCTAAAGAAGGCGCAAGAGCTCACCCTGGAGGATTGGCTCATTGCTTCACCAGGGTTGCAGAAGATAAACGGGGCCTCATCAGGGGGTGAATACCACGTTTTCAAGCACTATTCATCCAAGAGAGTTTTCCCATCTTTTATCGGAGAAGATACGAATACAAATAGCAGCAGCTCATCAAAAGCGAGGGGGAGTTTCTCTAAGGAGAGGCTTTTGAAAGTTGAAGAAGAAGATGATAGGAATGAAGAGATTATCGAGGTTTCATTGAGCAGGAGCCAAAGTGGGAAGTCGAAGAAAAGGGTGACCTTTAGGCTACCGGAAGAAGCTGATGTTTTCATATTTCATTCATCTCCACCACCAGAAGAAGAATCTCGTTAGGAGGGAGCTTAAATCAGCGTGTGATTTGTATTTCTTTTAATAATTACACATAAACCTCAAAAGATTGATCTGTTTCCTGTGATCCGTTTGGGTGTGCTTAGTTTGTTAACTTCCTCTTGGTTGTGTAGTCCAGTGAATGCTAAAACTTCATTCAAGCATCAATGGAAAACGTAAGATATATTTGTATGTTAGTGTCTCATCTTTTATTTGGAATGAGCCCTGTGGACGCTTCACAGACTCGGAACATCAATACCAAGTAGGATCAAAAAAGCTGAGGCGGTGATCATCCTTTAAAATTTTTAAATCTTTTATATAATTTAAATCTAAAATTTTATAAGTTTACTTCCGGCATAAAATTCTCGTTCCGTACTTAATTTTATCTCCCTAATTTGTTAGGGACCTTAGTGAGTTCACATAATGGTGTCTGAACAAACCCACTCAAAGGTGACTAAATTAGGTAAATAATCATCTAATTTTGCAATGTTTTACAATAAACTTTTTGCTAGTCAAAGGAAAAAAAAGGGAAACAGGTAGTATGCAGGATCTAATGTTTAAGATTACCGAGAAGTGGGGACGTGAAGCCAATTTAACCAAATTCCAAAGTAAATATCTCTTCTCATTTAATTATGTGATAGTAAGTAAATATTTAAAAAAAAAATTATAATTGTATCATCTAATTAAAATATTTTTACAAACAAGTCACTGGCCATTAAATATTAGAAGGAATAATGACGTGGCGTAGTATAATAACAATTTTAGTCCTCTAAACTTATAAAAACTATCATTTTGGTTCTAATTCGAAATAATTCAATAAATTTAACTCTTTGTATTTGAAAATTTCATTATTTTAGTTTATTTCTTTTCCAAAATTGTTTGTTCTTCTCTAAAAAATATTATAGTACTTTCATGTTATTTTTCTAGTATAATAGTTCAACATTGATTTACTATTGCTTTATGGTAGAATACAATTATTCAACTACTATTTTGATATGATGGATTCGTTCGATTCAATGACATCGCAAGAAAAGATTAAATCGATTGATTTTTTTTAAAGACGAAGGGTTAAATTCACTAAATTATTTTAAATCAAGTTGATTTTGATAAATGTACATAACATTTTAGAAAAAAAAATGTTATTATACATGTCACATTATACACTCATTTTAAGATTCTCGGATGATGATGTGATTTATAATCAAGTAGGCTATGATTTGCATGAAATTCAGGGTTTAATTTTTCTTTCATATTTCATTTTTTCAAATGAGAACTGAGTGATTGGATCCCTGAATTTAAGTAGAAAAGACTTTGGTCAATGCTTGGTGAGATATACATGTATAATTTTTCTCTTGCTCTGTAAAAATCTCTGAAAGTTGCTGCCATGTTTATTCAGTCCTTTTCCCTTTCATCAAAGGAGTAAATGTGAAAAATTTAGCAGCAACGAATTTATAGTCGAGCAGTGTACAAAATACTCGGTTTTATCTTTGGCCAGAACGAACAAGAGCATGGTCTTGTACTTTCACTTTAGAGACGAATGTACATAGTGGTTGGAGTTCCTCCCAAGTCCCAAATTCTTTAGTATAATGGCATTTTAAGGCTTTTTTAATTTAAATATTAATTAAATAAGATACTCCCTCCTTTAAGATTTAAAAGATTTTTTTGTAATTAGGGTTGAATGACTTTATTTGGACACGCAACACATAATTTTTCAAAATATCTAAATATATTACCACATCAACTTAAATTACCCTTATGAACTTTGAAATCTTTTATATAGAGAGAATAGGATAATTCTAGATAATGGACATAAAATACGATTACGATAAGAGACGAGTACATATTATGTAGCTATTCCTTACCCTAATCTTATTTAAATTCCTTACCTAAGAACAAAACCCTAGATAGCATTAGCATGGCATGAAACAAAATTGGCTGAATCCTGCACTGAACAGCAAGATCATTAATGTCAGCATTAGAGGATCAGGTAAGGGTTCAACAACCAAAATTCTGAATATCATCCCCTAGAGATGATGGATGATGAATTATCTATTCATTGAGCCAACCAGCTGAATTCTGATGTTAGTACGGGTGGTATGAACCAGGAGCGAAACCCATAGGATGTGGAGGTCGGGGTGCACGAGGATCAGTCATGAAAGGTGGTCTAGGATCATAAAAGGCATTTCTATTCCTCATTGGTGGCTCAGGCCCTGCTGGACGCATCCTAGCGTAGTTCAATTCATCTAGACGAGGAGCATATCGCTGCGTTGCAGACATATGCGTCCTGTAGGACAGATTCATTGTAGCACCGGGTTGTTGTCCATAGGAGGGTGGTGTTGGACCAAAACCAGAGTTAAGTCCAGCCATATTGTTTCTCTGAGAAGATATATCAGGAGCTTGACCATAGAAAGCTTGCGAGCGCATTTCAAATTCTCTAGCCATTTCATTGGCGTAATGTCCATAGCCATGACTGAGGCCACCAACCGAATAGGGGTCATTTGTCATGTTGTACCTTTCCATGTCATCACTAAAACTGGTCCTAGTGTCGCCATATGAAGTTCTATGTGGAATATGCGAACTATTCATGTTGGCGTTCTGATGCTGGTTAGGCGATTTGAAGGAGGCACCTTCCACTGAGGATCTGCTACCCATCACATTGGATGGAGAAGAGTTAGGAATTCCACCATGCGTCTTGCTTCTAGGAGTCCTTCCTCCACTCTTTTTATCAGTTCCCCTTCCAGGATTCTCTTCACTATTCTTTCTTTTAAGCTTACTCGAGGTTTCCCCGGATTGGTTCTTCTCATCCCTTTGCTGATGACTCTTATTCAAGGTCTCTCTGGATTGGTTGTCCTCATCATTTTGCTGAGTCTTACTCAAGGTTGCCCTGGATTGGTTCTTCTTATCACTTGGCTGATGAGTCTTACTCGAGGTTGCCCCGGATTGGTTTTTCTCATCACTTCGCTGATGAGACTTACTGGAGGTTTCCCTGGATTGGTTCTTCTCATCACTTTGCTGATGAGGGGAGCACACTTTTGGAGTCACCGACACAGATTTCTCTTGTTTATATTCCTCAACTTCATGATTTTGCAAATGATCTTTCAACTCAGAAGCATCATTAAGAAGAGCAGCATCCTCCAATGGCATTTGAGACATGGGTGTCTCATCAATAATCATTTCCTGATCTAAACTCTCTGGTTCCTTGGGTAGATGACCATGTTTTTCAGCTATGCCCTTGTGGTTAGCTGAAAAATCAGAACGACTCCAAAGATAGAGAGGTGGAGCCATCACATTCCACTGATCCATTTGTTTGTCATTTGCATCAACAGAACCAGGCAGATAAAATGACTGGAACACGAAATGCCAAAGTTACCGACAATACCAAAAGATCGTAATAAGAACATCAAGAAAGTTCATATACAAGGAAATTGCACAAGACCTCTAAGTTACCTTTCCAGATAAAAACTTATTATCCTTCCAAATGAGTTCATAAGGAGGTTCCAAAAATTTCTTTTCATCCAACCTAGTGAAAGCCAAGAAATGTGAATAATTGTATGTGTGTGAGAGAGAGAGAGACGAAAATACTACCTTTCTGTTTCTGGTGGAACAATAAGGATCAAAAGTTTCGGTTTAAATTCGAGGGCCTTGTCAATGAACTTGTTTGCCAAAGCAGCTTTAACTCCAAAAGGAGGATTTAGACCCATTATCTACACAAATAGTGAACAAAAAAATTAAGTGAAACATGACAAGAGGACTACCTGCATGTGTTTAATTCATACATTATAAAAAAATTCCTTACCAATTGTGAACCTTTCGGCAATTCATTTGGTTTCACGCTCATCCAATCTTTCTTTTCAAAATTAAAATCATTCTAACAAACAAGTAAAATCAAGAATTATGAATTATCTACATATGTATGCAAACAGCCAGGATCCTCTCTGAAATCCAGGAAACTAAAGCATACCTTTGCTTGGAAAATATCATAGTTTTTGAATGAGCACTTCTTCCCTGTTTCTTCAAGCTTTCTTTTCATTATTAAACTAAAATCATTAGTACCGCAACAAAAGTCTACAATCTGTACAAGGAAATAATTAACAATCAGACAACTCGCTCAAATACCATACTTCCATCTCATCTTTTGTTATAGGGATGCACTTATAAGATGAAGGAAAAATTGTCAACAAATAACAGCTCTGATGTTTTTCCATACCGAATAAGAATATAAATATGGCCGGTCATGTAGTGTTTATCAGTATTATTGTACATACTTTCTAGGTGCTCTATTACTCTGTATATCCAAGGATATAAACAACTTAATATCTAAAATATTTTCTCTTTGATTCCATCATCTATTTCAGTAAAATATGAGCAGGAAACCATCATTATGAAGCACATATCAAAGTATAATCACAGACTTTTTTTTTATAGGAATAGTAGGTCTCATTAAAAACCTCCTTCTTAGTAGTCCTTTACCATGAGGTTAGAACCGACTAGCGGAAGGAGGAAAAGAGTACCTCAATATATTGATTTCAAAAAAAGATTACATAAGACTTAAACCACTCGTTGAAGATACATAAGACTTAAACTCACTCATATAACACCCCCGGAATAAAACCTCCGAACCTAGTACAACAAAGTGAATCACTACCCAATCCCCTCCTTAGCTAGCAAATCTGCCTCGCTATTACAACTTCTCGGAATCCACCTCACAATGACTTCATTCTCAGAAACCGCATCCGCAATATCCTTAACAAACTTAAAAAGATAAAGTGGAACTGACTCCTGAAATTTCAACCAATCGACGGCTAACTTGCAATCACTTTCAATAATAAGCCTACCCTTCAATACCCATTCTGATGCCACAAAGATGTCTAAACCTCTTTTGATAAAACATAAAATCAAATGAATAAACAATGGAAGAAAAGAGAGGTAAGAAAGTGGGGGCAGGGGAGATTGGCGAGGCTCAGAAACCCTTACCGTATCACCATCTTGCACATACCAATGAAGTCTATCAACAATCTGTGCACATTTAAAACCAGGCATTAGTGTTCTAAAGCATCAGGTAACTTATAATAATAAAAAAGCATACATTAACAACTGGATTAGCAGATACAGAACTATAGGATATGGAAAAAGATGGAATTTACCTCCTTAAGTCTATCCACTTTGGTAAAATGGCGACCAAAAGATGAGTAGCGCATGCCATATAGGAAAGGAGCAAGATATACTTTGAATTTGTGCTGCAAATAATAAATATAAACAAATTCAAGAGCAAGAAAAAGAGAATGTGATAAGGCACTCAACAGCACTTTGTAGAAACAAGTACATGCAACAAACTTGCAGAGAATATGTTATGTCCAGAGGGAAATAGGTCACCTATAAAAATTTCATATCAACTTATTTTAAGAAACAGGATAAATGATGATTTACGTGTACCCCTAACCAAACATTAGTTGTGCAATGAAACAAAAAGAAACCCTGTATTTCTTTGAAAATGGGATCACATATACAAACTAGAACTCTTAATTAAACTAGAGGGTATAATTACAAATAATTACGGTCAATAACCTGCCAATTTAAAATCTGGCTTAAAACCCCTGGCTCACAAACAGCTTGAGCATCGTCAATACTACAGCCATCCTCTAGTTTTGCTAAAGCCATCCGAACAGCCTGCAAACAGTTGAATAAAGACTTAAAAAGAGAAGAAAACAAGCGCACAGAAAAATCTTATCTTTGATAAAAGCCATAAAGAAAAATTATCTGGAATGATGAAATACCTCAACCGAACCCTCTATCTTTCCAAGTGTAATTCTTTCAATGGTACTTTTTGAAGAATGTTTGTGTGTAGATGGGAGATTTTGCTTCGCTATTATATCTTTTAAAGTTATTGATGATTCAGCCTCTTTCATTAAATCGAGTAATCTACATTGCAAAGAAGTCCAAAAACAAATCAACATTTGATGCATAAACTAAAATATAAACTCAGATCAGTTTGACCGTATGTGATTAAGAGTCAGGTAGAAGAAAAATACAAGGCAGAAATTAAAAAAAGTCCACCTTTTCTCAGAATCAGCATCTAATGAAGGCATTTCCGAGCTTTTACTTTTTGCAGTAGAATTGTCCATTGCAGCCTTATTAAGACCACCTTTGAGCGTATCTTGTCTCCCAGGCTTAACTTGCTCACTCTCCCGAGTCATAAAAGCGAATAATCTGTCCCCCAGCGAGCTCTTGTGTCCACCAGAAGAAGAGGATTTGCCCATATCCATTGGCACAGGCTTTGAGATCTGCCTCGAAGGCTTTTTGGATGGGCCAGTGGATTTGACTTTCTTTAGGGTTATTTTCCCAGGAGTAACTTCTTCACTCTTTTTTCTAGCTTCACCAGCTTTAACAACAGAAGATTGCTTTGCTGCCTTCATGGCAGTTCTTCCTAGTGAAGTGTCTTCTGACGCAAGACTTCTCTTCTTGAAGCCAACCTTTTCATGACTTTTGAGCACATCTGATGCTTTTCTTTTTGTTGTTTCATCAAAAGGGAATTTTATATGGTCCCTTTTTGGAGTCCCTAGTTCATCATCAATCTCATGTTTTCTACCCAAACCAAAAGGATAAACAATTTAAAAGACAATTAAAACAAATAAAAGTATCAAAGCAACACGTTTAAAACACTTACAAGCAATATATAAGTACACGATTTTCAAGAAGACCCTCCCAAGCCCTTTGTATAACACCTTCCTCTTCTATATCATCAAATGCAATCTCTCTGTCAGAAGCAAAAAGAAACCAACCAGAATGTTAAGCATAGGAAATATTCTGATGAAATATGCTTAATATAAATGAGAATCTTGTTGTACCTTGGTAAGCATTTCATGTGGTATGATGTGGGGCAACGTCTACACAAAGCAAATTGCAGCTCCTTGACTTTCTTGTTTTCTCCTTGTTTACAAACACAACATTTATGAGTGGGGCATGTAAAAAATTCCCCTGCTGAAATTTTTTTCCCATGCTCTTCAGCAGCAACTTTATCCTCATGGAGCAATTTTGCCACACAATGTGGATGATAAAAGCGACCACAGGTTGCATTACTGCAGCAAAAGACCTGGCAAAAAGAATTGAAATTTTTGGAGCCATTCAGCAAAAAGTTACAATAAAACTAGAGGACATCAAAATCTATTGATAACAAAAAAGACAACAGAAGTCGTAAAAGAAGATTTATCCAGAAAATAAGTCGAAGAAATCAATTTCTCAGAAGAAATCAATTTCTCAGAAGAAATCAATTGCACCAATCTAAAAACAAACAGACCAATGCCACAACAATATAAAGCTCCTACTAATGTTTATTGTTTGAAATTGATTTTATTATGAATTGATTATCTAAATATTTTGTTGCAAGAATGATCAATGACATTGGTAGGTATTATACCTCAGCACCAGAGGACTTATCAGACGAGTCTAACTTCCCACAAGCAAAACACTGATGTTGATTATGTTCACAATTCTTGCATAAGAAAGTTTCCAATGCCTGCCATTTAGTAGGGATTAGTAATTAGAAACAAGACACCGACAAACTAAAAGCCAATGAAGTAAAAACGGGTCACTCGCTTACGTTAGCTTGCTTCGGAGTAAGGCCAAGAGATTCACAAGAAGATTCACACGCAGACTCTTCATCAGCAGTAGGATGAAATGATCTCATACACCTTCCATCACAACATATAATATTACCCCCATTGTCACAAATAGCACAAACTGAATCATACAAGTCATCTTCGTCATCATCATGAGTGGAATCATCCTCATGGTCATCATCATGGTTGGAATCATCTAGCTCAGTGTCATCAACTGCATCATTAACTATAAATCCAGAAATTGACGTGTCTCGAGCATTCTGATTAATCAATAAGGACACTTGATCAAGATAATGTAAAATTTTGAGAATATAAAAAACTGAATAATCAGATTTGAAAAGGAAATAAACCAAGAAACAACGAAGGCAAATATCTAACCTCATTAGCAAGTTTCTGCTTTTTGGGCCTCTCCTCCAAAAATGAGCGCAAAAACTGTTCAAGGTATAAACATTACATTGACTTCAATGAAAAAAAGAACCCGAAAGATAGCAACTCATCATAAATAGCCACAATGCTTAAGAAGAGTCTCTCATGTTTTACAAGCCAAAAATCATGATATAAAAATAATCACAGACTAAGACATGCTAAATCCGACACCCACATTATCCAATGGAAAATGACAATTAAATGCACCAAAATGATTTTACCATATTACAACATACAAACCTTGGATTTTGCTAATGAATCATCACTTTTAACAGCCTCGGCAATCAAATCCATGTGATCCACCAAATCATTCTGTGAAGGTTTTACCTCATACAAGCTGCAAACAATAGAAGAAAATTCTTTTAAAGAGAAAAAAGGGCCTCCGACAGTTTCAAATGGAAATAGGAAACATGCTCCCATAAGAGTGATAAACTACCTAAAATTTTTAGCTAACTGCTCCCACAATGATTTCCCTGACAAATCGGGTTTCCTACTAAGAAGATGCAAAAAATGAACCGTTATTAAAATACTTCTAATCTCAGGCTCAAAGCTCTTCCTTGGCTTCTGTAGCTTAAGCCACCCATTTTCTTTACTTAAAACAGAAATCACCGGCATCCCAACATTAGACAGATCGAATTTCCAGGCAGTGACATGATTGCAAATTTTTAAGAGCCCATCATCAGCTACTCCTCTCAAAAATATATTCGTTTTAGATCCATCACTTGAGCATTCTTTTCCCACAAATTGTAGTGGCAACTGAGAAAAGCAAACCGCCTCATCTTTTTCATCATGGAAATAGTAGTTTGAGACAGAACGGAGTTGAGCCTCTTCTTCCTCATCGTCAGAAAAAGCCATTACCACACTGATGGTATTAAAAAAACAAGAAAATAATTAACAAGATTCTAATAAAAATAAAACAATTAACCGCGAAAGAAATTGCATCAACATTAACAAAGCCTCTTCTTTTTCATCATTACATAACTCAAGTGCCACACCGATCATATTAAAAAAACAATAACGATAATAGTTACGTGAAGTCTATTAAGAACAATGCAATTAACCCTAAAGTAAACTGCAACAACAATAACTATAATTGAAAATTGAGTGCAATATACTGATAAAATTCAGAGTTTCAAACAGCGGAGTAGTAGCAGTGTCGCCGCCTCTATTTTGCGGTAACATGTGCCAAAAAAACTTAACCTCAATAGCAGTTATCACGGCCGCAAAAGGCAACGTAATGGAAAATAAAAGGCGTTAACGGATCGCTATTCCCGCAGAACCGATATCTTTAAGAACATCCGATGAAACAGAGACTAACAAGCAAAAACCTTGAAATTAAGTTTAGGGTTTAAAAACTACCTGATTTAATTTATTGGTCTATCAGAAACTGGCAAGGCAGGGGAGGGCTTCGATAAGAGGAAAGGGATAATAAAATTACGAAGAGGAGAGGGTCGACGTTTCTTAATAGTTTTAGTAGGGAGTTAAAAATATACCCATAAGAATTTGGATTAGAGAAAAAGATCTGAGTAATAAAAAATATCTTATAATATATAATTAATTTTTATTAGATTTGTTAAAATGATCAACTAAATCGCAATGCGATCGATAATTCGCAATACGATCTCCGATATCGCAAATCAGTTTTCAGATTCGCAACGCGAACTTCGACTATCGCATTGCGATTTACATATTCGCATTGCGATAGTCGAAGTTCGCGTTGCGATTTATTCCAAATTCGTTGCGATAGTCCAAAATCGCAACGACTGGTGGTATTGTATTTGTTTCTTAAGAATTTTCTCTAAAAATATAGTATTCGCGCGGACGTGTCGAAGACACGTATGACCACGACCACGAGATGGCGGCGCGCGAGAGTCCCCCTTGTTCTCTATCACTCAACAAGGAAGTGGGAAAGCCAAGCCTTAAATACCACATAGTATTAGAAATACTATTGGGAATGGTATTTAAGGCTTGGCTTTCCCACTTCCTTGTTGAGTGATAGAGAACAAGGAGGACTCTCGACCGCCGCCGCCGCCGCCGTCCGTCTCGTCTCGTGTCGTCTCGTGGTCGTGGTCGTGGTCGTGGTCGTGTCGTCTCGCGCGAACTTCGACTATCGCAACGTATTTGGAAAATCGCAACGCAAACTTGGACTATCACAATGCGAACTTGGACTATCGCAATGCGAATATGTAAATCGCATTGCGATAGTCCAAGTTCGCGTTGCGATACCGGAGATCGCGTTGCGAATTATCGATTGCATTGCGATTTAGTTGGTCATTTTGACAAATCCAAAAAAATTTGATTAAAATCATATATTATAAGACATTTTGGTCACTAAAGTTATTTTCTCTTTGGATAATAAGTATACAAACATAATTACTATTTAAATCACTTCTATATTTTAATTTATTATTTTATATTCAAAATTCAAAAAAAATTATATGTAATTAAAAGTAATTTTTTTACATAAAGTTACTAATTTTATTAAAAATAAAAAATATCCAAAATTATAATAAAGATTTACAAGCATAACCGTAAACGCAAACTAAATTATAATTATGATATTTTTTCTATAATCATTGACATAAAAACTAGTCATTTAGACTACGTAAGAACAAAAAAAAAGTTAAAAAAACCTAACCTAAATACTCGAACAAAATAAAAATACGAACAAATATGACTGTATCGACAAACGAATCACAAAAAATGATGAAAATTATCCATGAAAGTAAAACGCGTATCAAAATCAATTTAAGGATCTAAAGCAGCGAAAATTAGCATGATAACAAATAAGCATCATCTTGATCAGTCATGGTCATTTCAAATCCAAACTTGCAAAAAAAGGTAAACAAAAATAACAGGCAAACAATCGAAAACTACCAAAAGACCGAAAAAATATGTCATAAAAGCAGAGATAAACCTATCACAGAGGCATAAATAAATGTGTTACAGAAACAAAATTATTTTTATTGAAAAACTAATAAAAGAAAAAGAAAAAAAATAACAATCGATAACTAACATTAAAATTAATGTCATCGCGGATTAAACAAATACAGAAAAACAAAGTTGATTTGATTTATAAAAATTACACAAATTATAAAAAAAGAATATTTTCCTGTTTAAAAAAACAATTTATATGTTAACATATTTATATTTACTAGTATATAATATGGAATCGCGTTTATATTTAATAATTTTTTTTTTTGAAATAAAGTATTGCTTATATACCAATAGCATCCTCAATTACAAGTTGTTTAATACAATCTGGTTCATCCAGGAAAAACACAACTGGATTGTGGTTCGATAAGGCCCATTTAGCTAAAGTATGAGCAACTCTATTAGCATCCCTACTAACATAAAACACCTTTAGTAAAGGGAGATCAGATAACAATCGCCTAGCCTCATTGAGCAACAATCCAACTGTCGAAAAATCCTGATTCTTTTTCTTGTTCTGATTCGACAACCTGTAAACAATCGATATAGCATCTCCTTCAATAATCGCATTGTTCCACCCATTCTCAGCAGCAAACCGAATGCCTTCAGTGAAAGCAATTGCTTCTGTAGATTCCGCCGTAAACGGGGGGACAATCTTCCTTGCCATACCCCCTAACACCATCCCATGCGCATCTCTTGCAACAACACCAAAGGCCGCAATGCGAGAAGATTTGCAAAACGCCCCATCCACATTAATTTTAACCTCATCTCTATTCGGCTTACTCCAATTGCGCGATCTACACATCTGCCTCACCTCACATGAACCCCCAACTGGATTGATAGCAATATTATAATCCCCAATAAGATTAGAAGAATTAACAACAATATCTCTGTCCGATTGTAACTCCCCATCATGGACCCATTTGTTACGCCTATTCCAGATATTCCACAGCAGAGCAAGAAACAAATCAAAACCTTCCGATAGCAACATCGATCGAGCGAATGACATCCATCTGATACATGAATCCCCTCTCCACTCAACCACCTCCTGCGGAAGCCCCGATAACACGAGAACCGTCTTTGACTTGGGACAATCTTTAAGAGCATGAAGCGCCGATTCAACCTCTGTATTACAAAGCGAACACAGGCCATCCCCCAATTTTGCTTGCTTAATTTTTAACCCAGAAGGAATCGCTTCATGGCACACTCTCCACCCGAAAATTTTTATTTTTGGGAGAACTTTCGCCCTGGCCACCTCATTCCAAATCCCATCCGCAGTCGACAAAGTGGAATTCATCAATTTTAACCAATTGTATCCCGACTTTGCAGAGTACATTCTCGAAGAGTGATGAGCCCACAGCAAAAGATCAAAGTGAACCGGGGCAATTAACGTGTTAAGAACCTTGGCCGCATCATCCGCAAAAAGCACACTGTTAAGCTTATTCTCATCCCACCTCGTACAGCCTGGGATCATGAACTCCCCCACTCCCACCGGAGCCTCCAGGCTATCCAAATGCCTTTCCGACCATGAAAAAGGCTTAGAATCACCCCACTTATCTGCAAACATAGAAACTTTGCTATCAATGCCCACTCTCCAGAAAAAGCCTTCCCTAAGAGCCTCTTTAGCCTTCATTATACTCGTCCAAGCATAGGAATGTCTATCGGAAAGTTTCGCCTCAAAAAACGAAGTTGAAGGGAAGTACTTAGCCTTAAAAACCTTAAACACCAAAGACTTTTCATCCTGAATAAGTCTCCAAATTTGATTGCCAAGGAGTGCAATATTAAACAATTTAAGATCCCGAAATCCCATACCACCAAATTTTTTAGAACGACACACCTTATCCCAGGCAACCAGCGCCCATCCTCTTTTATTCTGTTTCCCCGACCACCAGTAAGATCTCGCTTGTGTTTTAATATCCTCAATAACTCCGTCCGGGATGAGATAACATGACATAGCGTACGCCGGAAGCGCTTGAACCACCGATTTAATAAAAACTTCTCGTCCCCCAAAAGAAAGAAGTCGCTTGGTCCAACCCTGAATCCTCTTCTCGGTCTTGTCTCTGATAAAATTGAAGGCTGCACGTTTGCCTTTCCCAACAGCAAGCGGTAAACCAAGATAGTTCCCCGGGTCCGAGGCCTCAACAACTCCTAGTGCACTCAAGAATCTCGTCCTATCCGCAACAGGGGTATTTGGACTAAAGAAAATACTAGATTTCTCGAAATTCACTTTTTGTCCTGAGGCCTTCTCATATTGGTTCAATATGTTTTTTACTTTGCACACTTCGTCCAGTGAGTTCTTCACAAACAATAGGCTATCATCGGCATACAACAGATGTGAAATCCTTGGTCCTCTAATGCTCGCTCTAATTCCTTTAATCTCATTCCTCCTTTGAGCCTTGAGAAGTAATGCAGAGAGACCCTGAGCACAAAACAAAAACAAATATGGAGATAGCGGATCTCCTTGTCGGAGACCCCTCTCAGGGATGAAAGAGTCAGATAGCACCCCATTGATACGCACTTGAAAAGAGACCGTTGAAATACATTTCCGAACAAGGTTAACAAAGGAACAATCAAAACCCATACGCAACATAACATCCAACAAAAAATTCCATTCCACTCTATCATACGCTTTCTCCATATCAAGTTTTATCGCCGCTCCCTTATTAGGACCATTTTTAGACCCTTTAAGATAGTGAATAAGCTCATGTGCAACTAAAAAATTATCCGATATACGTCTACCAGGGACAAACGCACATTGATTTTCAGCAATACAACCATGCATCAACGGTTTAAGGCGATTAACAATAGCTTTAGACACGACCTTATAGATGACCGAGCATAAGCTAATCGGTCTAAATTGCTTCATTAAAGTAGGGCTATCAACCTTTGGAATAAGAACAACAATGGTACGATTAACAAAATTAAAATCCATCGTACCATTCAAAAGACATAGACATATACTAACAAAATCACAACCCACAATATTCCAAAAAGAGCGATAGAAATGACCTGAAAGGCCATCAAACCCCGGAGCTTTCGAAGGATTAATTTGGGCAAATGCACTGGTAACCTCGTCCGCGGAGAATGCTCGGCAAAGCACATCGTTATCACTCTGAGAGACGCAACGATCAATGGCTTGAAGGATCTCCTCATCGGGTGCCACTTCGGACGAGCAAAAAAGAGAGGAAAAGTATCTAGTAGCAATCCCGAACATATCCTCCAAATTATCTTTCCAACCCCCCTTCACTCAGCAACCCCTCGATCCTATTCTTTTTACGGCGACCATTAGCCCTAGCATGGAAGAACGAGGAATTCCAATCCCCGTCTTTAAGCCAAGCAACACGGGATCTCTGGAACCAATAACTTTCATCTTTATCCATAACCTCCTTAAGATCCACCATGGCCTTGCGTCTAAGCTCACAGTTCACATCCGTGATCGGGCCAGATTGAAGCCGAGATAATAGTTCCCTCAGCCGCCTCTCCTCCCTCTTAGCTTGAGTCCTCCTCGATCTTTGCCAATCTCCTAATGAACTGCCAATTTTCCCCACCTTTGCCGTAAAAGTATCATCCTGTTCCCAAATCCGTTTCACAATATCTCTACATTGGTCTTCATTAGCCCAGCATACATCAAATTTGAAGTAGTCCTTCCTAGTCTCGCACATTCTTTCCTCCCCAACCAACTTCAACGAAATAGCAGAGTGATCAGACATAGCCATCGAGATTGTTTCAACCGAACAATCTTGAAACATGAGCCTCCAATCATTTTTTGCCACAAATCTATCGATTCTCTCGCAAACATAAGTTTTAGCTCGGGTACCACTTGCCCAAGAGAACCAACCAACTCTAGGCCGAATATCCCACAGATCGGCTCCGCGAAGGCATTGAAAAAATTCCTCCATATGGCTTCTGACCGGTTTTCGCCCCCCTCTTTTCTCATCAGAATGTATAATCTCATTGAAATCTCCTCCCACGCACCACGGGAGCAAAGAAGTCGAAGCCAACCGAGAAATCATCTCCCAATTGTGTTTCTTTTCCGCCCATGAACTACGCCCGTAGAACCCTGTGAAACGAAATTTATCTCCTATCCCTGACACTTCCACATCAATATGCAAATTGGAATAACTCAGCAATGTAACATCAATACGTTCATTCCACAACATCATTAAACCCACACATCCCTCGGCTCTTTCAACCTCAAAACACCCATACATCTTAGTTGCCAATCGGATAGCTTCCGACTTATTTTTCCGAAGTTTAGTTTCAGAAACAAACACCAACATCGGGTCCTTAATGGAGATCATTCTCCTAAGCTCATGAACTGTCGCCGGGTTCCCAAGCCCTCGACAGTTCCAACACAGGATCGTCATGGCGACCGGCGGGGCTGAGCCTCAGCCTCCGCCGAAACAAGAAGGTCCTCCGAATTCTCCTCTGGAATCTCGCTGGGATCCTCTTCCTCACTCGTTCCCACCTTGGAGTTAAACGTGGAGTCTGAAATGTGCATCGGCTGCCTGCTTATGCGTTTAGCCTTCCTCTTTTCTTTGCTCGACTCCCCACTCTTTCTCTTCCCCGTACTTGACGAACCAATTTCAGCTCTGACACTGGGGTCACGATCCGGCTGTTTTCCCTCCATCTTCGTACGCTCACAAACCACAAATACCTCCGGAAATGTATGAGGAAGTGAGTTATCAGAACCAGAGTGGTCCGATGAATCAACACCATCTCCTTGGTTGGAGCTTGACGAGAGCAGCAGGTCTCTTCCTAACATCCACGGTCTTCCACGCGGAGCCCGAACACTTTTTCCAGCAAGTGGGCTGTTAACCGGACTAGACATCGACCGGCTATTGTTCATTCCATCCGCATGAACTATCCCATCCCTTCTTCTGCTGTTACTTTCTTCGATCTTCTTTATGCTAGTCACTCTAAGCCATTCTCCGAACTGTAGTGGCTGTTGTATATGCTCCGAAAATCCAGTGCATTCCGTCAGGACGTGACCGATTAACCCACAATGATGACAAAAGGAAGGCAATCTTTCATACTTGAGTAGGCATTTTCTCGGTTGACCATTTGCATTCACTCCCATCTTAGCGCATCTCCTCAAAGGTTTGGTGCAGTCGATTTCCACCCTTATACGCAAATATTCTCCCATCCGTCCCTCGCCCGGCCTAGTATCCGTAGCAATGGTTTTCCCCACTTTGTTGCCAATCTTTTCCGCTGTCTCAACCCGCATCAACCCCATCGGAAGTTCATATATCCTCATCCACACCCCCAATGGACTAAAGTCAAATTCCTCAAGATTTAAAGTAGGGTCGAAATGCGCTAAAGCCAACAGTGTTCCTTCAAAACTCCAAGGAGTACGCTTCAATATAGCTTGTTTATCCGCAAGAGTTTTAAATTTGAACATGAACATTTGATCTTTAAGAATGCTAGATTCCGAGATCCTAGCATGCCCCCAAATTGACCGAAATACTCTTAGCACCGCTTCACTTTCAACACATTTGTAACCAATAATCTTAGCAACAATCCACTTGTCCATCTCCACAAGATCATCATCGGAAATAACCCTTGGGGGGGAGATATCCTCCGATTCCTCCTCTGTAAATTTCAGCTGCTCCATTAGATGTGCTACCTCTTCAAACATGATACCCGAAGCAAACCCAATCAATAAAACCAAGAACACTACTCTTTTGCACTCTACTTTAACCCCCACTTGTGCTACTAGCAAGAGAAAATTATAACCAGTACCCTTTTGCTTCTTTTTGGAAATGTAATAATAGCAAATATCTTTCTTACTCCTTAGTCTCTTTCTCCATCTCCCACTCGCAAACTTGAAAAACTGCCCCATTAATTGTTGTTCTGACTTTGCCCACCAACTTTCTCTATCAAATCTTAAGCAAATCAGAAATATAAGATATTTCTTTAGGCTCCTCTCCATAAAATAATACTCAAAAAAAGCCAGCCTACCAACTCTGCTTAAACACCCCCAGATTTTCCAGCCGCAATTCCTGTTTGAACAGTAAAAACCGAACCTACTCTTACAGTAAAAGCAGTGCATAACCATTCGATGGTTTCCCGATTCGGTGGGTCTGACAACCTGGATTTCCTGTCTGAGCCTTACTATCCCTTCCCAAGAATGGTCTCTGCCCTTGTCACCCTCAACCCGTATACTCCAGAAGTCTACAACGATCTTCCCAATGTTGACCAGATATAGGAGATTCTGCTAAACATGCTGTGGCCAGTGGGCTAAATAAAAAAGAATTTCTTTCACCTGACACCTTCTCTCTTCATACACCCCTCTCCAACAATTTATCCGTATTCCACCAACCCAATACCCTCTCCGAATCCTTCCATAAATCCCATTAAAAATAAACATCTCACATATTTCCTTTGAAAGTTGGTGAACTTCTCTATTCAACAGCTCATGTTTCCATCTCCCCATCACATCACACTTTGATATCTGCTGGAATTTTGTACACTTTTCCTTCCAATTGTAAATCTGACCCGAACAGCGTTTAGCTTGTACTTCCCCTTAATTAAACCATAATCTTCCTTAACACATATCGAAACCCAGCTCCGATCATCTTCTTCATTGCCTTGGCCTCCTCTTCCTTCTTTTCTCGATTCCAGAATATACCCTAGTTTTCCCTTTGCAACCGAATAACCCAACCTTATCTTATACCTAAGAACTCTCATTTCCTTCTTCCAAAGCAGCTCTTCATCCTTAGCTCCCCCCACCTCTTCCTTCCTTTGTCCGTTTTTCCCATAAGATACTTTTCCTCTCTCAATGTCGTTTCCTTTGCAACAGCCTTTAAAGGGATCCTGCAAAACATGAATCGCAATTAGAAAAATCCCCTGATAACAACAATAGCTTTTACCTTCAACATTCTCCACATAAGAGGAACACCGAGAATGGCTTTTGATTTTTGAGGAACACCAAGCACAATGTTTGGACTTGGACGAACACCAAAAACATTTCTTGCTTTTTGAACAACTTGCATCTATAACATAACCATAATATTGACTTAACAAAACCCTATCATTGAAGAAATTAAACCGTTTTGAGATCCAAGAATGAATCTCGACAACCAAATGTCCATGAATAATCATGGACGACACCCTTGAAACCACCCAATTTCCCATCTCGGAAAGAAATCCTAGAGAGAAGGGAGAGCAAATTCTCTCACTGAAACAACTACCAGTAGACATTGAAATGTCTGAAACGAGGACACTTTCTCCATTATATTTAATAATTTAAGATTGTTTTGCAGATGACCTTTTAGTTTTAACTCAAAAGCATCCCTGCAATGAGCACCGCCTCCAATGGAAGTCGAGACATGGGCGTTTCATCAATTTTCATTTAGCAAATTTTAAAAAAGTATATAATAAAAATCAATTGAATACTGATTTAATTAATATTATGACCTGCCATTGAAAAATTAATTAATCTTAAAATGTGCCTTAGCAATCTAGTCTAAACCATAATCCAATACGCAATGTTAGAAAGCACAAAAGCAAAATCGCCTCATTATTTGCAATTCCAATAGTGATTTTGTACCATTTATGAGATTTATCCTATTATTGTTAAAGAATATTATCTAAAATACAATTGGCTGATAACAAACGAAAAGAAAAAGTAAAGAACTTTCTGATTGTACGAGTTGATTCATGGCTTCTTCTACCTACTGCAACCATATTCTCAGTTGTATGGGGTTTACACAGTTGCAATTTCAGTATCTTCATTCTCACATTGAGATGACGAAACTGTAATGTCCGAGGCAGCGTCGTCCACGGTCAAGCTTGACATCTCACCACACAGCGATGATCTTTCATCTTCACCGCCACTAATGGATGGTGCTGGAGATGCATCTGACGTGTAACTAATACTCCCGTTGCCGTTTGAAGGGGATAGAGCAGCCTCGCCCTCGTCCGCCGCTTGTTGAAGGCACCAGTACATTATGCTGGCTGTTAATGTGAGGATCATTTTCTGGTTTACCTGCAAATATCGTAACAGCATCTAGTTGTCAACTCAATATATTCATCCATTTGCAATAACTAGTGACATCGGTTTCCTAATTCCTATTTGGTGTAGAGATGTAAATTTGAGGTTAAAAATGCAGCCATTCTGCCTATGTTACTGTGCTCACAATATGATTCATGCAACTCGGTTGCTTTGAAATTTTTCGATATTTCAATACGGTACAGTAGAAAGTGACCTAGTAGAGATGCACCCTTACCTCCATGATGTCCTCAGGCAACAAGAAAATCGAGCACCCAAGCTTTCGTGCCACGCTTATGATATATGTTGCATTCAACCTCTTCTCATCATCTATAATCCATCAGGGATAAAATACAGCTAAGTTCAGCTCAATGTCGACACTGTTTTCTCAGACAAAGGTATGAGAACTTGGTCGTTTCGTTCCATAAATTAAAAAATCTCATCAAAATAACTTCAGTTAGAGAATAACCATACCACTTTCACCCTTGGTTACAAGGTTCCAGTTGACCACTCTTGGCTCCACCGCACTTAAAAGTTCGAGGAAGAACAGACCACTTGAAAGGCTTTTGTCCTGCAAATTTAGTATAATCATCAGCCCCAACTCTTAAACTATGATGGTTTTCTTGCTAAACTTAAACTATGAAGAATGCTGATAATTGTAAAACCTTGAAGCTTTCTATTTGGGTAGTTCTTCCTGAAATTTTGACTTTCAGGTTTGCCCAATTCAAGATATCTGCATCAGTTATCTCCTTTCCGCGGGAGCGGGATCTCAAACTCTTGAGAAGTTGAAGAATGTTAAACCTCATTAATTGCCACAGAAAAGCTGTTACAAATGTAATCCATGAGCATTTGGACAAACGTTAAACAACCAAGTATACCTTCAAAGAAAACACAAAAAGAAAGGTGCGAATAATTCCCCACGAACCGGAAATTTTATATGAAAACCCAAGGCCAGAAATAAAAAAGAAACAAAGATACACCGAAAGATCGAAAGCAATTTGTCAGTCTTTCCATGCAGGTTGAGGTAGTCAATTTACCAGGATGTAGATTCTCTTTATAATAATAATAATAATTATAAACGTAAAGAGGGTTTTCCTTCTTAACAGAGGCAAAACATGTCAAGCAGCAAAGGGGATCATTTTAAAATCAAGGAAAAAGCATAGAGATTACCAACGATGAGCTTTTTATTTCCTTGTACTATATCATTTCCGCCAAGATTCACGACGGAAAATTTCAACTGTTTCCCGATCTTCACTACTTGATTGCAATTTTCCACTTTCCTAAATGGAAACTTAATTGGAGGTTTTGATGCATGCTTCCAGTTCACTGATCCAGGAGAAACTTTATCAAGCACTTCTAAAAGTATCCAACTGCATCAAAAATCAAGTTTCTTATGTTGTTAGTCAAAATATCGAATTGCAAACCTTCAATGCATCCCTCACATACAGTCATAAATCTATATGACATAAACAAGGTTAATGTGAAATTGTTGAACACATGCATGCAAGTTCCTTGGACATAAAAATGCATGCATGCTTTCGCCATAACAGAAAGGACAAGCAGGCAAATTGATGCTTTCATTGGTTCATTATTCTCAGATGGATTCTTTTGAGAGAAAAAAAGGACATTACCCTAACCTTTTGTAATGTTAGCTTAATATCTACAGTAGGGATAAAAATCATTATCGGAAGATAAAAAATTATAGGAGAGAGAATAAGTGAGAGAGCGATAGAGAATGCGAAAAGTCATTCTCCCTCCGGTGAGGAATGGACAGCATTCGTTGATAACCTGAGCAAAAGGGTAACAAGGAGAGCATTAAGGGAACTTTTTCACTATCAAGGTCCGGTGATTAGAGTCTTTATTCCGAGTGTGATCAACAAACCAAAGTACAAAGCTTCCACTTTCGCCTTTGTTCAGTTCGCTAATGAGAATGGTTTGAGGAATGCTATTGCGAAAGTCAATGGGACGTGGATTAATGGGAGAAAAGTCTCCGTTGGTGTAGCTAAATATCAGAGTTTGGAAGGGTGCAGCCATTGCAGGTAAAGCCTAGGCAGAAGCTAAACAGTCATCTGCAGTTGGAAAGAAGAAGACCAGGGAGGAAGTAGAGTCTCCTAGGAGTTTAAGGGATGACATATCCTATAAAGTACTGGTCTCAGATAGGAGGTTGAGGGCTGAACCTGAATCTATGGAGAACAGAGTGGATAATCCGTAAAATGCAACAGGGAAGAGGAATCTTTGGGAGTTGCGTATCCCTCCAGAAGAGACGGGCTGGATGAAGTGTTCCTTGACAGGGATTATAAAATCATCCGCTGGAATTGGTGCAAAAGGGATTGGTTAGTGACGGAATAAAAGCAAAGGTTGCTAGTTGGCTTAGAACTCTTGTATTATTACATTCCAGTCATCTGAAGCTTTATCGGAGACGTGGAATAAGAAAGAAGAGGAATTATCATTCTGGTTTGATTGGTTGGCACTCCTGTTGAATGAAGATGGAATTCCAATGGTATACTGCTTGGTTGAGTTATACGGAGTCCCTTTATTATGATGGCATGGGGCTTTCCTAGAGAGGCTTGCTGAAAGATGGGGATCACTGATTTGCATCCAGGAGTCGACCAGAAATAGAGATGATATGTCAGTGTTGAGATTGTTGATGAGAGTCGCAAGTCCTTTTGATGTTCCTAGGACTATACGGTAGGGTCATATGGAAGATCCTTTAAGGTTAGAATTATGCTGGGTTCGGTCTTTAAAATGCCGAGCTACCTTCTAGAGAAAGATTCGGATGGGGGTTCAGAGGATCAATGGATCGAGCCATTCAAAATGGTTTAGCTTTTTTTGCAGAGTCTGAGTGGGATGGAAAGGGTCGATTAATTCTCGAGTCAGATCTTGCATATAAAGAATCCAGAAAAGTGCGCTGTCATGTTTTCCCAGTTAGTGAAAGGAATTGTGAATTCTTTGGATCGTGGTGTAATTGTTAGGTTTGTTAAGAGGGATGTAAATGGGGAGGCTGACAGTTTGGCAAAGGCGGGTATAGGTTAATTTTGTTTGTAACTATAGTTGGTTTTTGCTATGTTTAGAGGGTTGTGGGGAGAATTGTGGGTCTTCTGATGGGTAATATCTTGGTGCTGTATATGGTGTAATTCCTTTAGAAGCAATAAAATTTTGAGGCACTCTTTTCCTTCCTCCAATGTCCGTTGAGTTAATTATGTAGCTTGACGGTTATGAAGGGTTTTTTTTTAATGAGGCCTCTCTTTCCTATCATAAAAAATATCTACAGTACGGATAACTCATGCAACTCGAGCGATTTAACTACATCAGCAAAGTGGAAAACTTACCCAGTTCTAACATCCTCAAAGACATTATTAACATAACTTTCGATTCCAAGACTATTGATCCATAGTCGAAAACACCTCTCTTCTCTGGAAATTTGAACATCATCAGTCTCCCTTTCTGCAAAAGAGATCTTTTTGCTATCTGTGCTCAGGCCATTCCTGCAAAATCACACATGTTTTTCCTACCAGATTACATAAAAATCAAAGAGCAGACTTTAGTGTTGCTAACAAAATAATCTAAACTACTGACATGATACTGGATTGTAGGCATGGAAAACAATTAAATAACACCAAAGCCGAACTGTTAAAACATCAAGTCATGGCACTTTCCCTCCTACCTTTTTAACAAGAGATAATGATGGCAATACTATGCAATAGAACAAAACCGTTCATGATCTGAAGTACATGAAAATATCCATCCACCTTGACTCCTAATTTCATATTAACATTTTTATAATGCATACCAGCATAATAACCTATTCCTAAAATTTGATTAGAAAACAGCTCTCTATGAGAATGCTATTAAACCGAAAAGGAATTAAAAAAAAATTAACACAATGTCTGTTACAACCGCAAGGCTTGTGATTTCTAACCTTTCATGGAAGATTTGGGCCACAAATGCAAGATTCAAGTTTGGTGAGCCCTCAACAATGTCTTTTGGGCTCAGATACCGTTTGCAACCCATTCTCTCTGCGTGGTCAAGAACAAGTTTAGCCCTTTCAATGGGATCCTTTGTATCTAGGGTCAACGGATTGCAGTACTCTGGTGCCAGAACATTAAGCAGGTAAGTGTAAGCTTTTGCATCCTGCATGTATGAGAAAACGAGTAAAAAGTGTCAAATTACCAATGCAAGAAAAATAGAACAATGCATCTTATTGGAGCATAATCCTCCACCTCAACACACTTTATCAGTTTATCCAACCCTTGTGTGACTCAATGTAAATTAACATATTCAAATACCTTCACATCTGAAGAGAAATTAGCAACAATTTTCTCATAGCCGGCTTTATTTAAATGGAAATTCATCCATTTCAGTAGAACTTTCTCAGGAGCTAACCCCATAAGTTCCTCAACATCCTGCAAGTGACGATAATTATGAAAGAAACAATCAGTTCATTTGTTTAAACATGTTTATTTCATGTTTTATTCTTAATTAAACACCAATCACATGGTAAGGAGATAAATTACTGCATTGCTATCCTCCACCAATTCCACAAGCTGAGGTGTCTTCTTAAGATTGAGATCTGCTAACAATTGAATCTGCAGTTTCAAAGTTTTATGAGACAGAGACTAGAGAGTACCCAAACAACTTGTTTTAAGTTAAAATCCTACTTTTCTCAGTCCATCAAGACAGTTAAAGCCTACACAAGAAATTGCAAATGAATAGTAGAGATGAAATTTAGATGCCTACCTTTATAATTTGAGATATCAACCCAAGCACAAGATGAGGCTGCGATAAAAATAATATAGATGAAAACCATCGGAATATCGGAATGTTTCATTCTAACTCATTTAGTAATCTGTTTAGCTGCACTAACCCTTCCTTCAACCAAGTCTTGAGTGCCAATATTTACAACAGTGCAGCCAATAGCCTTTGCAGAGTTAAGGCAAAGGGTATGGTTCTCATTCCTCTCCCACGGGTTAAGTACCCTTTTTGTGTTGATGGCTCTTTCGTCTATTGTTCCAGGCACAGCAACATTTATAAGCTTACTGCACGAATATAAGACAGAACAGAATTGATACCACTTTTTACCAGCTTTTATTGAAGAAATAAATAAGAAATGCATAATCAAGCACGCCCCATAATCGTACCATAAGAGTACTCCATCTTTTGCGAGATTGAAAATATCATTTGTAGCTGGATCAAGCGGAAGAAACTCTTTTAAAAATGGATCGTCCGCAAGATAAATATTTATGTGCGTTACATAAGTGGCTTTTTCCGATTCACTGATTGTGTGAAGGAGAGTGGTTGTGGAGGCCTTTAGGAACGATGATGAATGCTTTGAACCACCCAGTTTTCCTGTAGACTGACCTTGCATATTTAAATACACCTGCACATTCCATGCAACCAATTGAAATGTTAGCATCCTTCTACTAATTCCAGTATCGACCAAAGTTAAAACCCATCGTTCCCACTCATATGCAACTTGACAGAATGCAAACTGCCATATAAGTTATACTGAAGCAATGGTTCCATTTTCCAACACAATACTGTGCTCTTATTAACAGGAAAATAGAAAACAAGCATAGAACGTTAGCATGCACACGCTCGTGTGTATATATATATTACTCACCCTGAGGAATGTCTCAAAATCAATCTCGGTGCTCATGTCGGTATATGATTCACCCAATATCTGCCTAATCTCATCCTCAGTAAGCAAAGTACTAAAAGCCTTCAATTTCATCATCAAGGGTGGCAAATCTTCTACTGTAACTTTACCATTTTGGCTCTTTACTGAAACAAACTAGAAATCATACAAAAAAAAGACGGTTAAAACTATCAAATTAGATTAAAAAAATATAAACTACATTGTTAAATAATAATTCAATAGCTAAATCAATAAGTTGGGGAAGGAACAAAATATGCTTACCTTGGATTTAAGGCTGCGAAGCTCGACTTGTGTGAATTGGCTCTGAAGCCATTGATCAGAGACAACAACACCCACAAAACTAGACATATCGAGTACCGATTAATCGGGCAGTGATTCTCAAAATTACACCAACTGAACCAGAAACCCAATGACCAATGCAAGACTCAAATTAGACTTCAATCTACCCGAGTAATTAAAACCTTCCGAAAATATTCCTGAAGCCCAGAATCTGAATATCAGAAAATCAAATCAATGAAACAGGCATTAGATCCAGTGAATTCAAAGCAACAACTCTTCATGAAAATATCCGTACGGATTGCTTATAACTGATATAAATCATGAAAATCCAATACCTTTATCATATAACAGATACAAACTAATAAAAAATCCAAATCCAGAACTCAACTATAGATCCAATAAGCATAAATATCAACAAGAAGCCATCATGAAAACACCATACGTATTGCTTTCTAAGTCATAACAATAGGAAAAGAAGCACAAAGAAAACTCAAAAAGAAACAATACGACCCAACAAAGAAAACACAAAAACGAAGAAACCCAGAAATACTTACCTGTAAAAAGCAAAGATTTTCAATAAACGAATTCATTTCCCATCAAAATTTACACACACGAAACGATAAACACTTAAAGTATTAACATTTTTTTTATTTATAGGATTGATTAAAGAGGAAGATAAAAGGAAGAAAGGATCAATTTTTTCTTCTAAGAAGAGCAAAGTGAAAAGAGAGAGAGAGATGAGAATTAGCTATTACCTTAAAGACAGCATATGGAAAGACAAGGCTTTGAAACAGATTTGATCCTGTTAAGAATTGGGTGTTCCCGAGAGTATTGTCAGCCGAATGCACTCGTTTGATTGTTTGACACGTCAACAGAGTTGTGTGGACACGTGTGACAGTAGGGTGTTAGGTGAACTTGGGATCTCTGGCAGCTGCCTTTTGATAAATTTATGGGTAAATTTATTGTAGTTACCAAATTATCAGTCCAAAACTATAAATAAAAATAATTTTTTAAGTAAACTTTAACCTATCCTAATTTTTTCATTGTACACGGAAAATAATTTTTAAAGATATATAATTAAACAAATTTAATCTAACATTTTCAAATAATTTCTTCTTTTACGTTGAATATACTTCTCTATTTATCCATAAAGTAAAAGATATTATTAAAAATAATAAACATTTAAATATATTTAATTTAACATTCACTTGTACAACATATGAATAATAATTTCAATCAAACTGAATTTAATCGATCTTAATTATTAAAGAAGGACACCAAATTTTATATTAAAATATCAAATTTATAAAATTTTAAGAAAAGAAAATTAAAGAAAATAAAATAAATTTTCATAAAAAATATTTAAAAATATATAAAAATTTAAAAAAATTAGAAAAATGACAGTCCCTAATCAGCCCCACCTACGTCTATCCTACAAATTACACTCTCTCGTATATAGATAAATATAATAAAGAGAAAACTTAATCAATAAGTTTTACATAAATAAACTAATAGTTAAAGAAAAAAAATTAAATCTATTATAGGCTGTGGGACCAAAAAGACTTTGGTGACGAAGCAGCCGGCAGACTATATGACCCAAATTCTTTATTGCGGTTACATTTATAATTCAAAAGGTAATATTATTTTAAAAAATAAATATAATGGTCAAAATATGTTTGTAGTCTATGTTACATTTAAAAATTAACCTCCCCGTTTTTAAAATATTTTTAAATTTAAAACATTATTTCGTTTACCCCAAATTATTAGTTTAATTAAAAAAAATATTTTGATAGCCAATCAAGACACGCCACATCACCTCATAATTTTAAACTTTATTATTTGACCAAATAAAAATTGATTAAAAAATAAAGTATAGAATATACCAAAACTACCCCTCTCCCTCACCCTAACATCACCCCTTTCCTCTAACCAACCCACGCTGTTTTTCCTTTCTCCATCTTATACCACAATTTTGTTTTCCATTTATTGTTATTTTTATAATTTTAGCTTTGGGTTTTTTGTTGGAGTTCTTGGTTTTAATTACGAGAATGAGCGATTCTTAGTAGTTTATTGAAGTATTTATCAATGGTTGTTACAGAAAATTATGTCAGATCTAAGAAATGTTGTAAAGTTAAATAAATTGGGCTAGCAGCCGGCTGCTATAATAGTCTAAGGTGGCTGCATAATTGTGTTGAAAATGGTAATGGGTAAAGTGCACTTTAGGATATTTTAAAATATTAATCTCTAAACTTCAACTATAAATACCCTAGCTCATTTAACTTCAAAATCATCTCAAAATCCCAAATCATTTTCTTTCTCCCAATACTAGAGAACTTTCTTGTGAGTAGTGAGTGTTTTGTAAACACCTGTAAATTTTCTCTCTTAGTAAAAGATCTGCAGCAATCCGGAGACGTAAGCAAAATTGGCTGAATCCCGTTATCAATTTCGGGTATTATTTTTCTGCTTTTTATTTTGCATTCTCACTAATCTGGTTATAAGAAAATTACTTGTACTCATTTTATTTCTCAACAATTGGTATCAGAGCTTTTGGTTGTGAATTTTGTCAATTTTTTACGATGTTATTATTTATTACTATTCACGTGAATAGTAAAATTTTGTCGGCGATACGAATTTGTCGATGGAGGTGTTCTAATACACGGTGATTCGCAAGAACTGTCAGAAACGATCCAAACGAAGCCAGATTCGAGTGGGAGCGATGGCTACAGACGAAGGGAATGTGAAAATTGAAAAGTTTGATGGTGCGGACTTTGGCTTTTGGAAGATGCAGATTGAAGATTTTATGTACCAGAAAAATCTATATCAACCTCTATCAGGAAAGCAACCAGAGGGCATGAAAAATGAAGACTGGGCTCTTCTCGACAGACAAGCCCTCGGAGTTATCAGACTGACGTTGTCCCGAAATGTTGCTTTCAACATAGCAAAGGAAAATACCACGGTGGGTCTTATGGCGGCTCTCTCCAGTATGTATGAGAAGTAATCGGCCCCAAACAAAGTTCATTTGATGAGACAATTGTTCAATTTACAGATGACGGAAGGGGCATCAGTGGCTCAAAACTTAAATGAACTCAACACAATTACAACCCAGTTGAGTTCCGTGGAAATTGAATTTTGATGATAAAGTTAGAGCTTTAATACTCTTATCATATATATCAGACAGTTGGAATGCTACTGTTACAGCAGTTAATAACTCGTCGGGAAACAACAAATTGAAATTCGACGATATTCGGGATCTGGTATTAAGCGAAGAAATTCGACGGAGAGAATCGGGTGAATCATCAACTTCCTCATCCTTGCACACGGAGTCTAGAGGGAGAACTTCATACAGAAATTCAAATCGTGACAGATCCAAATCCAGAAGGGAAAATCAAGAACGGGAAAGAAAGATTATACATGTTATAATTGTGGCAAAAATGGTCACTTTAAAAGAGATTGTCGAGCACCAAAGAAAGATACCGACGCACAGGAATCTGCCAACATGACAGAGGAGACAGGTGATGCCATGATTCTAAGCGTCAACAGTCCGATTGAATCATCGATCTTGGATTCAGGAGCATCTTTCCACCCCATGCCAAGAAATCATGGAGAACTATGTCAGTGGTGATTTTGGGAAGGTTCATCTAGCTGATGATGAAACCTTGAAGATCGTCGGAAAAGGAGACATCCGATTAAAGTTACCAAACCAGACCACCTGGACGTTGAAGGGAGTGAGACATATTCCTGGACTTAAAAGAAATTTGATTTCTGTAGGACAGCTTGATGGAGAAGGATATAACACAACCTTTTCAGGCTGTGAATGGAAGATTACCAAATGAGCACTCGCCATTGCTCGTGGTAAGAAGACTGGTACTCTCTATGTAATCTCAAATTTAGATAATATCATTGCAGCAGTAGATGCTGATGGAAAATCAAACCTATGGCACCAAATGTTTGGCCATATGAGTGAGAAATGGATGAAGACACTTTTGTCAAAAGGGAAGCTTCCGGATCTAAAGAGTGTAAATGTCGGAATATGCGAGGATTGTATCTTTGGCAAACAAAAGAAAGTCAGTTTTACAAAGATTGGCAAGACACTCAAGGCAGAAAAGTTAGAGTTGGTTCATACTGATGTATGGGGACCATCTCCAGTTCCATCTCTTGCAGACTCACTATATTATGTCACCTTCATTGATGATTCTACAAGGAAGGTGTGGGTTTATTTTCTGAAGAAGAAATCAGAAGTCTTTGATACCTTCAGAAAATGGAAGGTCATGGTGGAAAATGAGACTGGTTTGAAAGTCAAGCGGTTGAGGTCTGATAATGGAGGAGAGTACATAAATAGAAGATTCAGAGATTTCTGCGCAACAATGGGATCAAGATGGAGACAACAGTTCCTATGACATCGCAACATAATGGGCTGGATTACCCAAATTTCTATGTGCTGAAGCTATCAACACTGCAACTTACTTGATCAACCGTGGGCCCTCAGTTCCTTTGGATGGAAGAATACCATAGGAAGTTTGGAGCAAGAAAGAAATAAACCTTTCACACTTAAGAGTGTTTGGTTATGTACACATAGACTCTGCTGAAAGAAGTAAACTTGATGCTAAGTCCAACAAATGTGCCTTTGTTGGTTATGGCGGTAATGAGTTCGGTTACCAGTTTTGGGACTATGAAAATCGAAAGATCATCAAAAGCAGAGATGTCATTTTCAATGAGAATGTGATGTACAAAGGCAGGGCAACCATAGAATCAAATAGCTCCAATACCAAAGCTGAAATAAAGGAATTTGATGAGTTTGAGGATATTTCTGCAAATGATGTTCATATCGGTCCTGAAGTAGTTCAAGAAGAACCAGGCACACTAGAACTGAGACGCTCATCCAGAATTCTTAAATCAACCCAACGGTATTCTCCTTCTTTGCACTACTTGTTGCTGACTGACAATGGTGAACCAGAGTGTTATGATGAAGCAATGCAAGTGGAGGATTCAGTCAAGTGGGAGTCATCCATGAAAGATGATATGGACTCGATTATGTCAAATCAGACGTGGGAATTAGCTGAATTACCACCAGGCAAGAAAGCGCTCCATAACAAGTGGATTTACATGATCAAATAAGAGCACGATGGGAGCAAACGCTACAAAACAAGATAGGTTGTCAAAGGTTTTCATCAAAAGGAATGTATTGACTACAATGAAATTTTCTCTCCAATTGTAAAATTGTCTACAATCAGACTGGTGTTGAAATTGTAGCTACAGAAAATTTACATCTTGAGCAGTTAGATGTAAAGACAGTTTTCCTTCATGGTGATTTGGAGGAAGAAATCTATATGTGGTATGCAGAAGGCTTCATAGAGGCAAGCAAGGAAAACCTGGTATGCAGGCTGAAGAAGAGCTTATATGGTTTAAAACAAGCTCTTAGACAATGGTACAAGAAGTTCGATAGCTTCATGGGTAGCAGTAGTTTTATCAGATGCCAAGAAGATCATTTTTGCTACATCAAGAAGTTCGACAACATCTTCATTATTTTATTGTTGTATATTGATGACATGCTTGTTGCAGGTTCAGACATGCAAGAGATTATAAACTTGAAGCAAAAATTGTCAAAGCAGTTTGCAATGAAAGATCTGGGCGCTGCAAAGCAGATTCTAGGGATGAGGATAAAGAGAGACATAAAGTTGGGGACTTTGATGTTATCACAGGCTGAGTACATCAACAAAGTACTCTCCAGGTTCAACATGCAAGATGCTAAACCAGTAAGTACACATTTAGGTGTTCATTTTAGACTCTCCAAAGAACAGTCACCAAAGACGGAGGAAGAACGTACACACATGGTAAAGGTGTCGTATGCCTCAGCAATTGGAAGTCTGATGTATGTCATGGTTTGTACCAGACCAGATATTGCTCATGCAGTGGGAGCTGTTAGCAGGTACATGAATAATCCGGGCAAGTTACACTGGGAAGTAGTCAAATGGATTTTCAGATATCTGCTGGGTACTACAAACAAATCACTTTGTTTCAAAGGTGGAGATACGATACTGACAGTATATGTAGATGTTGACTTAGCTGGAAACGTTGATATCAGAATGAGCACTATAGGGTATGTTTATACTCTAGGATGTACTGTAGTGAGTTGGGTTTCTCAACTACAGAATATAGTTGCTCTCTCCACAACTGAAGCAGAATATATCATTGTTACGGAAGCCAGCAAGGAGATGGTTTGGCTCCAAAGTTTCTTGGAAGAGTTAGGCAAGAAACAAGAAAACAATGTCTTGTACTGTAATAGTCAAAGTGTCATCCATCTAGCGAAGAATTTGTCTTTTCATTCCATGACAAAACATATACAACTGCGATATTATTTTATCTGGTCTCTTATGGAAGATGGGATTTTGAAACTTGAAAATATTAGTGGAGCTCAAAATCCGACAGACATGTTGACAAAGACGGTGACCACGAACAAACTGAAGTTGTGTTCAGTTTCAGTTGGCATGCTAGCGTAACAAGACCGTAAATGCTTCTGCAGTGATCGAGGTGTGAAGACAGATTAAAATCAGTCTTCAAGTGGGAGATTGTTGTAAAGCCAAATAAATTGGGCTAGCAGTTGGCTGCTATAATAGTCTAAGGTGGCTGCATAATTGTGTTGAAAATGGTAATGGGTAAAGTGCACTTTAGTCATTGCATTTTAGGGTATTTTCAAAGATTAGTCCTTAAGCTTCAACTATAAATACCCTAGCTCATTTAGCTTCAAAATCATCCCAAAATCCCAAATCATTTTCTTTCTCCCAATACTAGAGAGCTTATTGTGAGTAGTGAGTGTTTTGTAAACACCTGTAAATTTTCTCTATTAGTAAAAGATCTGCAACAGTTCGGAGACGTAAGCAAAATTGGTTGAACTCCGTTATCAATTTCGGGTATTATTTTTCCGCTTTTATTTCGCATTCTCACTAATCTGGTTATAGGAAAATTACTCGTATTCGTTTTATTTCCCAACAAGAAAGGTGTTGACGATGGAATAGAGAAAATTCGTAGCCCTCAACAACCTCAAGAACTTGTTCGATTATTTGCTTCAATGGTAGATTAATCATCTTCTAATTCGTCTTCTCTAACGTTTTCTTTAATGTCTCCTTTTTCTTCTTCGACGAATGCTTCTTTGACATCTTCAAGAATGATTTTTCATTTCTCTTCTGATGCATCCCTAGTCAATTTACTTCCCTTTGTCAATGCTCTACTCATCAATGCAAATTATTTTATGTTTAGCCCTCAAAATCAACAACATGAGTTCATTTATCGATCATTTTTGTTGAAGAATCGTCACATGTACTGTTGCAAATTGTTTTCTTTAAAAAGCAATGAAATTCAATATTTTTCAGCACTTGTTTTGGATTTCTTCATTGCTAATGGAAGCGAATCGATTGTTGGGAGTGATGGTGGTGACAAAAGTGATGGTGGTGGAGGTGATGGTAAGGTTTATGAAGTTATTGATAAGAGATATGGTGATGGTTGGACTTTTGGTTAATTTAAAAGGGTGTTGGGGTTGAGAAAGGACGGTGGCGGCGGCGGCGGCGGTGGAGGTGTGGAAAGAGAGGGATATTTTTATATATATTTTAATTAAATATATTTTTATATAAAAATTTTAAAATTAAGAGATGATTTGGTATCTTTTGATTAATCATCAAAATATATTTTTAATAGAATTAACAATTTAAGATAAATAAGTAATGATTTAAATTCAGAAAATAAAATGTCTCAAAAATATTTTAAGAGATAATTTAATATAAATAATATATTTTAAGGGATAATAATACATTTAAGACTAGTATTAATTAAAATTGAAAACTACAGTTTAGTTAATTTGTGAAAAGAAAAGCTGCCGAAATCTGGGAATCGATTGGGAAATGAGTGGTCCCTTTATCCCCTCCCAATCCATTATATTATTACTTATTATAAAATTATTTTAGAATTTCAAAACCTTTTTATATAGTTGACCAATAATGCATTTTTTATATTAGCACTTTAATTTTAGATAATGTAATCTTTTATAATTAAATTGATTTTTTTTGGATAATTACATTTTATTACCCAAAATAGCAGTAGCTGCTACATAACAATTCAATCAAATGAACAAAGAGGGGGTACTACTTACAACAAAAATTAGACAATATCCCATTGAGTACAAAGAGATGAATTTTTGTAATATGTTCTATTGATATCCCTATTACTTAGAATAGATTCAACAATATCCTTAATAGCATTGACAATTCCTTCTTCAGTTCTGCAACTTTCTCTAAAAATCCGACGATTTCTTTCCTCCCGAATGGTGTAATTAAAAGCGCACCATGATAGGAATTATGTTATGCTTCGGGACATGAAGAGGGTACCAAATCAAATTATGCCAAGAAACTTTAGTGTCTTTAGGACAAATATATTCCCAGATTTCTTTTGTAGCTTTGCTGCCGTGATAGGAATTGCTTGAGCAACATTTCTGATTTTTTGCATTCGCCTGAAGCACCAGCTAGCACTTGGATATTCGTCCATGGTCCAGAAATATTGCTGCTTAATTATGTAATTATGGATCCACGCAACCCATAGAGAACCTTCCCCTGTGAGTAGTTTCCTTGTAAGATGAATTAAGCATGCCTTATTCCAGGTCTTGAGATCCTTTAATCCTAGGTCTCCTTTGGATTTAGGCTGACAGATGTTCCCCCAACTCACCCTTGCACCAGTTGCAGGACTGTCCGAGCCTTTCCAAAAAAATCTGGCTTCTTGATGATGGACTGAGGTAATACAAACTGCATGTACCAAAAATTTGCAACCTATAGAGGACGGTTTTAATAAGCTCAATCCTACCTGCATAGCTCATTTTCTTCGTAGACCATTGATGAAGTCTGCTCTTGATATTGTCAAGAAGGGCTTTACAATCTTTGTCAGTTAGCTTTCTTATGACAAGAGGAACACCCAGGTAACGAACAAGTAGTCTACAATGTTTAAAACCAGAATAATTGATGATAGAATCAATATTATAAGTAGAAATACCAGCTGTGAAAATCTCGTATTTGCTTACATTAAGCTTCAACCCTGAATACTCATAAAAGTAGTCCAATATAGTAATGACACCCATAATAGACTGAAAGTTTCCTTTGCAAATGACAAGTGAGTAAGTCCAATTTTTTTGCATTTAGGATGAAAGGTAAAAATCCCTCTTTTAGCAACAGTATTAAGAATATTAGAAAGGACATTCATTACCATAACAAACAACGTAGGGGATAGAGGGTCTCATTGTCTAATTCCATTGGCTCCATTGAAATATCCCACCAAGCTTCCATTGAGAGAGATAGAGTATCTAGCATCCGTATAGCAAGATATAATCCATTCGATGACTAACAGAGGTAAATCCAAAGCTTTAAGAATAGCATGAATGAAGTACCAATTGATGGAGTCGAAAGCCTTTTGAAGATCAATTTTAAGTGCACACCTAGGGGAAATGATCTTTCTCCCATATCCTTTAACAATTTCTTGAGCGAGAAGTGTGTTGTCAACTATACTCATGTCTTTGACAAAGGGAGATTGATTAGGGGAAATAATCCTTGGCAGTAAATTTGTAATTCTGTTGACAATAATCTTTGTGATGGTCTTGTAAATAATAGAACAACATGAAATTGGGTGAAAGTCAAAAACTTTGCTAGGAATCAATTTTTTTGGAATCAAAGCAATAACAGTTGCATTAAAGGTTGGATAGATGTAAGATTCATGAAAGAAATACTTAATAGCCTTAAAAACGTCATTGCCAACCACTGGCCATGCTTTCTTGAAAAAGAGAGCTGTAAATCCGTCGGGACCTAGGGCCTTGTCATTACCTTGACTGAAAATAACATCTTTGATCTCATCACTAGTAACTTCCTTGACAAGAGTTTCGAAATCTTCAAAAGAGGGAATAGACTGCATCAGATCTTTGAGAAGTGTAGGAGGGCATTCTTTAACATTAGAATCCTTGGTGCCTAAAAGAGTTTTGAAATACTCTAGTATTTCCGAGGAAATTTCATCAAAAGATTCAAGTCTTTCCCCCTGATTGTTAACAAGAACCCTTATAGTCTGTCTCTTGTTCTTAGTTGCAATTTAGCTTTTTGTCGTAAGAACATGGACTCAACTTCTTGAAGAGAATAGAGCTCTCTTTGCAACTCCAGTTCATTTTTAATGGATTCTTCACCTCTTAAAGTAAGAATTTGTTGCCTTTCGAGTTCTTCTCTTTTTACTCTAACTCGAGTGGTGATGTCACTGAAGTAGTTTATATTGAGCTGTTTAAGACTAACTTTGAGGCGTTTAAGCTTTAAGAATAAAGACTTCATAGGATTGCCTTGAGTTGCCATACTCCATGATTGACTAACAATATTTAGAAACTCAGGATGAAGTGTCCAACATTTGAAAAATTTGAAGGGTTTTGGTTTATTAAATTGAGCCTCTTTGTGAAGATAAACCACTGCCATACAATGATATGAAGGACCAGGTGCTAAGAATTCCACAATTGAGTGAGGAAAATATTCAAACCAAGTGGGATTGATGAGGACTCTGTCAAGCTTGCGAGCGATGAAATTTTCTATTTGTTTGTTACTCCAAGAAAATGTAGGACCAAAGAATGGGTGATCATGTAACTGTAAGATCTGAGTAATTTCTTGAAAATCTAACATATCAGAAGAGGTGAACATATCCGTAAAGTCGCGGTCAGTGCTTTCTTCATTGTTCAAGATGACATTAAAATCCCCTCCCAAGAGCCAAGGAATGTCACTGAAATCTGACTCGAGATGTCGGAGTTCTTGCCAAAGTTGTCTTCTAGTAATATCGTTATTACTACTATAAATTATTGTGATAATGAAAGGAACATTTTTAAACTGACCTTTGACAGTGATACTCTGATCTGACACATTACATAAGGAGATTTCCAGACCCTTCCTCCACAAAACTCATATTCTACCATTTGCTGCAAATTCATAGTTGGTGATAACATTCCAATTCTCAAAATAAGTAGCTAAAATATTAGTTGATTTTTCCACTTTCACTCTAGTTTTCATCAAGCAGAGAATATCTACATTATTTTGGGCTGCCATTCGAAGGATTTGACCTTGTTTAAGAGGATTATTCAATCCTCTTACATTCTAAAAGTAAATGATCATTTTCCTTGGGTTGAGGAGCTCGATTCCCCTCCCTTGCTTCCTCCTGAAGAACTCATAGATTTGTCAAGATGAGCCTTCTGTTTAGTTCTGAGTTCTTTTAACAAATTTGCAACACCAGAGGTTGCTGCTCTAACTTTTTTACCTTGATTCTTTGCAGCAGGTTGTGTCTCATCAGTCGAGTTTAGAAGTTCAATTCTGTTGCTTGACCCTGTTAATGCATTACGAGCTTTAACATCCATTCCTCTACCGTTTTTACCAAGAGTAGTAGGAGCAGAAATATGATCAGCAGAATTGTCTGGAAGATCTGGTAAATTCAGGTTTCCTTCACCATTCAGCTCAGAAGCAATTTCTTGAACGATGACATTGGGGGAAGAGTAATATGATTTAACGGAATCCCCTGAAACATCACAGTCTTTGCCTGAGTGTTGCGCCTCTAAGTAGAATTTGTTTCCTGTAACATTATCCTCTAATGATTGGTTCAAAGAAGATTTCGAACCAACAGCCTTTAAAGTTTGATTTCCTTCAGGACGAACCTCTTCAGGAACTGGGGAGGCTGGAATGACATTATCTTTTTTCCTCCAGACCATTGATGGCGCTTGAGAATTAGGATTATGCTTATACCCTTTGACACTATGGCCAAACACATTGCAATTTTTACAGCTAGAAGGCATCCACGACACTTCAATAACAATCAAAGTAGTTTGGCTGTTATTTAGAACAACATCAATAAATTCAGGAATAGCATCTGACGCCCCAATTTCAACACACACTTTGGCAAATTCTAATCTAGATTTCATGTCAGTGATAAAATCCATTGAGAGGGGGTCACCTATCGCACTTGCAATATAGCTAAGGCCTTCGCATGAAAACAGTTCTAAAGGGACATTAAATAAGTGTACCCAGATTGGAATTCTAGATAAATCAAGATGCAACTTTTCCATGTTTGGAACCCATTTTCTTAGAATTAATGGTTTGTTAAAGATGTGTCAAGGGCCATTCTCCAATACCCAATCCCGTGCTTGTTTCGAACTAAACGAAAATAGGTAAAAATTGTTACCTGCATAGTTGACTTGCAATTTTGCTCCGTGTAAGGGTTTTCTCCATAGTGATTCGAGAATTTGTTGCAGAGAAGCAAGTTTGGGAGCAACATCTAGGAATTGCCCAACAAGAGAAAGTCTCCATTCAACAATTCCACCTTCGAAAACTTCAGGTGGTGGATGGACAGTAGGAATTCCATCTCGAGAATTTGGGGGGAAAGTATTGTAACTGATTTTCAGTGGGACACGAGAACAACTTACGCCAGTCCATCAATAAACCGAGTTGAAATTTAAACAGGATGAAGATGAATAAGAAAAGAAATAACTTTGAGGAGATGATCGGATCGCCACAGCAGATTTCTCAGAAGCCATTAGCCCTGCTAATGTGTGCCGAGAGAAACCCACACATCAGAACACTATTCACGTATCGACTGTGATAATGAAAGAAATTAATTAGATTTTTAATAAAATTTAGAATTCTTTAACAAATATTTGAAGCTATGTAATGTTTTTATTTGTTGTGAGCACAATATGCCATGTGATTACATATTAAGTAACTTTGAGGAGATGATCGGATCGCCACAGTAGATTTCTCAGAAGCCATTATCCCCGCTAATGTGTGCCGAGAGAAATTCACACATCAGAAAACTATTCACGTATCGACTGTGATAATGAAAGAAATTAATTAGATTTTTAATAAAATTTAAAATTCTTTAACAAATATTTGAAGCTATGTAATGTTTTTATTTGTTGTGAGCACAGTATGCCATGTGATTACATATTAAGTGTTCAGACACTTATTTCGTTTGACAATTAGCCATCGACCGAACCGACAATGTTCATTTTGTTAGTCCATATCCTGTGCAAATATTTGATTTTTTATTTAGATATCCTAATCATGTGTAGCATTGCATTGAACCAGGTGTGGCAGTTCGATAAAAACAAGCAATGTTGTAGTTCGATAAAAACATGGCAACTTGACTTGTCTCCGTGACTTCAAGGCTGCTCTCCCGGCTCTCAAGATTGAACCTTGCCGTCCGTTTGCATTGGCCTTGTATGCTTATCGTCGAACTTTCCCAATAGAAATGTCCGGTGTACACAGGCCTTCCGACCAACATACTCAAACTATCCATTGCGCAAAGGATATTAATTCTTCGAAGGATAGCAAAGGTAGGGTGAAGTCCTCCTTGGGGGATTTCGATCCTTGACCGCCGTCGCTCGTGCCGGTTACACGGTGCGGAAGCAGACAAGCAGGCGGAGTATAAGCGGCATTTTTGCGCGTTTCGGTGTTGGTGGGCGACCAATGAGATATTCCCACGTGGAAACATTCCAGGTCGGCAACACCCCCTGTTGTGGACCCCACAATCTAGCTGTCCTCCGGTTAGAAAAACTCGGTTTACCATGTACCTGTAAACGAACCGAACGTACACGAACGAATGTATGTTTATATTCGTTCATTTAATAAATAAACGAACATAAACGAATATTAACATAAACAAACAATTTTTTTTTGTTCATGTTCGTTCATTAAGGAATATAGTTTGTTCATGTCCATTTATTTAAATAATAAACGAACACGAACAAATGAACATAAACGAACATAAACAAACAACACAAACAAAAAAAAAACTTATTTGAACACAATAAACGAATGTAAAAAAAGTAAACAACAAGAATAACAACTTAAAATTCATTAATATAACTTACAACTTTAGAATTAATTTGTTCGAATACGACAAAAGCATACATAAATAATAAATAAGCTATATGAACATAATAAAATCTTAAAGTTAATTTGTTCAATAAAACAATCTTCTTCAAATCCAAACAACTTCAATAATCTTCGTAACATATTCAACTTGTCATTTGTTCGAACATAAATGAACAAACATAACTGAACAAACATAAACGAACAT